TCTTTTTTCTTTTGCTAGTTTTATAATTACAATTCACGTCTTTCTAGATAATTGGCTTTATAGGGGGTAAAAGACAATGGTTGGTGTCTTGGTGAGTAATGGTGACGAGCTTTGGCCTGTTTTTCATGTCTCTCACTCTCAGTTTCTTAACACTAAATCGTGTCAATAATATTAAAGTTATGCATTGGAGAAGAAAAAAGTATAATAGAAATACAACCCATAAAACCAGTATTATGATTTGTATGTTTGTTTCAAAGTTATGTATATCTAGTATTACAAATTTAGAAATAATCTTAAATTTAATAAATAATACAAACTTAATAAATAATACTTCCTCCGTTTTTTATTAATTGTCGTTTGAGTGTATATTTCTTTTTGCTTATTAAATGTCGTTTTAGATAACTATGAACTAATATTATCTCAAATCCTAAAAATATGTAGATTAGTTCATGGTTTTATTCTTTTGTTACGTAACTTTAGCTCATACTCTCCTACTTCATTTCAACAACACGAGAAAAGAGTACAATTTTTTTATTTTTTTTTTCTTCCTGCGGCAAAATCCTACTAATTCCTTAAATTACGTAATTTTGTTCTTCTAATCTAGAACGACAATTATTTTAAAACAGAAGGAGTATGTAATTATGTTGAAAAAAGAAAACTTCTTTTCAATTTTGTAGATAAATACATAAATATGGTCACAACAATTATATATATTTTATGTCAAAAACGAAAAGATTTTCATTTTTTTAAAATTCCAAATAAATATTAAATAAAAATAATAAACTAATATCTGTATTTCTTGCATTTTACCTAATTTTCACTACTTTTATCACCACAATTCACAACTTTCTAGATAATGAACTCTCTTGGGTGTCAAGGATAATGCTGGTGAGGTATCTTGGCATGTTTTTCATGTCCCTCCAATTTCTCATTACTAAACCGTAACAACATTACTAAAGTCTAAAGTGGTGACGAATTTGAACAAATAAATACAATTATAATAAAACTAAACTCCATAAAACCGGCAAGCTAATTAAATATTTGTTTCAAACGATCTTTAAGCGTGGCTATATATATCGAGTAACTAGTATTATAAGTTGGGAATAACCCATTTAATTTCAATTTTGTATTTATATTGTATATATTAATAGATACCTTTATATTAATAGCTAATTTTATCTATCATTGCTCATTGGAAAATAATGAAATTACTAAATAAATTTTAACATATTGGATGAGTTAGAAAAATTATTAAATATAAAAAAGTGCAAGTCTTATAGGTGCAAGTGTCTTCTTAAATAAAATCAAAAAAATAATATAAAATTTGAATATATGAAGACTTGCATATATATAATAAAAAAAAATTGAAATATAAAAGCAAAAATATAATATTTTCTAATGATACTAAATCACATAAAGAAAGACATATATGTTGTGTTGAAAGTGTTAATTCCCTTTTTTTTGGAAAAACAAAGAGAGAATAATTAAATCAGAATACCAAAAGTGCAGTACAATGAATAATTGAATCAGAATACCAAAAGTACACCACAATTAGATAATGGTACACTCTCTTTTTCATTATGTAAATACTAAATAAAGTTTATTTTCATAATTGTAATGAACCGTGCAGTTATAAATTAAATATTCCTTATATGAATATAAAATTTCCCAATCCTAAATATTATCCCCCATATATAATATACAATTCGATTCCTGAATGTGCTGAGCGTAAGTGATAAATTCGCATGTTTCGAGATCTTATGTGACAAATTTTTATGCTTTGTCAATTGGATTTAATTAATTTTAGTTTACTTTCAATCTAAAAATACCTAGACTTAAAATATCCATAAATATACTAGATATTTATATTCTTTTTTAAAAGGCATTAATTATGTTACATTTCTTATTCTAAACGTGGTTTATAAGATATAATTTTTTTCAATGAAAAAGTGTGGTGAGGGTATTTTGGTCACGGCAAAAAAATATTTTTTTGCCAAAAAGTGACTATATTTATCTTTTACTAATCGACACAACTATTTACTAATATTACCACTAAAAAAATACTATGTGGTCTTCAAAGTGATATATATATTTTTTTTTTGGCGAAAATAATGGGAATAATTGAATAAAAGATTAAAAGAACCAAAAGAGCACCAGAATCAGATATTGGTAATTTGGTAATTTCTTTTTTCATTATGAAAAAAAAGCTTATTTTCAAAATTGTAGATACAATGCAAAAATATTGTTACAACAATTAGATTTTATAAATTTCCTGTCCCTTATGTCAAAAGAAAAAAATATTTTCAATATTAAAAAAAAATATAAAAAGGTCATAAAATAACATTTTATATTTATTGTTTTTTTTTTTTTTAAATTTTTTTTGGGCTTTCACTAATTTTATCATCACAATTTACAGCTTTCTAGGTAATAATGAACTTTCTTTGGAAGTGACAAGGACAAATATTGGTGAGGATTTTGGCCTTATTTTTCATTTCACTCCAATCCTTCATTACTAATCCTACCAACAATATCAAAGCCAATATCAAAGCCGTTACGAATTTGAGAAAAAAGAAAATAAAAAATAAAAATAAAAAAAATTATAGAAACAAAACCCTTTTTTTTCCCTCGCTCTCAACACTCTAACCTTCACTCTGATTAAAACTTCAATTTAACTCTCTGCCTCCAAATCTTCAGCATTTTATTTTTCAATGTTTTGATTTATCTGAACACTCGCCGCAAGTTCGATCAATTCGTCGGAAATAATTATCTCGTTTACATGGCGGAGGGAAGCAAAGGTGGCGAGCCCGGGCCCGAAGCGGGCCCGGTGTCAAAGCCCGCCTCGTCATTCGAGTCGGCCGGAGGCCGGCTGAGGTTCACGGTGGAGCTCCATCCTGAAGAAACGACAATCGTTTCGTGGAAGAAGCTTGTCAAGGAGGCCAATTTGAGCATGTCTGGTAGGCCCGGCCCGTCGGTGTCAGGGCCCGGAATCCAACCTCAGCCCGTGTCTCAGCCTCCGCCTCCATCTCTACCGGTCGGGGCATCTCTACCGCCTCCGCCTGTGAAAGAACAGATGGATCCTCAAGTGCAGGCCGGGTCGACCCGTTTGAATTCAGTGATCGAGAGGATTGAGAGAATGTATGCGGTAAGTCGAGTTGTGTTTGGTGAATTGTTTATTGACATGGGATGTGGATTAGCTTCCCCACAAAGACAAAGGAGATAGTTTTTACCTGACACTTTTCTTTAATTAATGGCAAACACACCTCATGCATGTATAGAGTTGCACTTGAATATTTTAATTTTATATGGTCTAGAGAAAACGTCTATGAATTGTGTGTATAGCTGGACTTGAATTTCTTAATCAACTATGATAATAATCTTTGTTTCAAAGATTCTCTGAATGGTAGCTGCGTTCACTTGTGTTTGTAGTCCTAATTCTACAGTCATCATGGTAATTGAGTTAACATCTTTTACTTTATAGGACTACAAGCAAAGCAAACTCCATTATAGATCATTTGTAGTTTTTCCCTTTAGTTTTCATCATCAATTTCTAGAGATTTAGCAGCTCCGAGGGTTCATTGTAAGCACTTGGCCCATTTAATGCAGTGTGATTATTATCTACTACTACTGGTTACTAGGTTTGATGATGGTAATGGTTAAACTGCTTAGATGATTCGTTCTTCTTTAACTGTGGTTAAATTTTCTTTATGACACCATGCCATGTTTGTGTCATGCAACTTGCAGGGAAGTGGGAGCAGTGATGACGAAGATGTTATGCTAGACAATGTGCCGGATGATGATGAATATGATACTGATGATTCCTTCATTGATGATGCTGAATTGGTGGGTACTGCCTTTTCGTATTAATCTACCTTGGCGATACTTGACATTTTATATTTCTTAATTGGTGAGCTTATCTTCTGTACAGGACAACTATTTCCAAGTTGATAATTCGGAAGTTAAGCATCATGGATTTTTCGTTAACCGTGGGAAGTTGGAGCATGTGTAAGATTATTGTCTTAAGTTTTTATTCTTCGTTACATGGCATAAGCGTTTTTTCTTTTTTCTTTTTATTTTTATTTTTTTGCTTTACTGTTGTCTTACAGAGATGTACCTAAATTTATGAAATGTGTTTGTTTCCTTGAATCTTTGGGTGCCTCTTGGTATTAATCAGGAAGAGACCAACCCAAGATTTCTCTTTTGTGCTTTATAGACTTCCAAACGGGGAAGAAGCACTTTATGTTTAAAATTACTTATCTAGTAATGTCAATACAAATAATCTAATCAGTGCTTGGAACATATAGTTTGTGTCCATTGCCATTGTATTCCCTTTCCAGAGATGCATATTTCGTCTCACCTTCTGATGCATATCTGACAGGATTCAATTGATTAGTATTTGAAGGTGTTAGGGTCTAACTAGTGGATTTTTTTTTTAATCAATCATGACACAAAGTTGAGGATGTTTTTATCATTAAATTATGGCTGGTGGTGCAATGATGTGATCACTGCATGTGTTGTTAACTGTTTGAGAAGTGTTATCTTTATCAAAAAACTAAAATCATTGAAAATAATTCGTAAATTGGAAAATATTNAAATATGTTGATTATGTTTTGAGTTATTTGGTTGGAATTGTGTTGTGACTATTGCTACGACTCGACTTATATCTTTTTGAAAACCTTCTGTTTCAGGATGACCTGTCTTAAATTCTTAATTAGTATCATCATCATCATCATCATCATCAATTAACACAGTTGAAGATGCTCACCTTTATGCTACATTATTTTTTTCCTGCAGTGAATCTCATTCCTCTAACCAGCAGCCAAAAAAGAGGAGACTCAAAGATTTGATAAAAGGGCAGAATGAGAGTGATGATGGACGTAACCAAAATAAAACTGCAAAAAGGGGAAACAAAGGTAAAAAAGCATCATCAATGATCCATACAAGCTCGACCAACGTGCGTGGTGAGGATATACAATTTCAGGCTGCACCATTAGATGCTGCTGAAATTTCAATAAAGAAAAAAGCTTCAGATTCCCATGATACAGAACGTTCTTCATTATTGTTGGACGGTGGTGCTATCAGGCAGAGTATGGATATTGACGGGCAAATGCTTGAAATCCTCTCATCAAAGAAACGTAGTAGCAAACTGAAAGAGAGTGAACCTCATGATGCTGCAACATATAAGTCAAATGATAAGAGCTCCTATGCAAGCAAAACCCAATCTGGGAAACAACCAATTAATGCTGATTATCTAGACCGCCCATTTCAACGAAAAGAAAAAGGTGGACCTGTAGCAAATCTTAACATCCTTTCAAACAGGGATTCCGTGCCAACTATGGTGAGAATTTGCTTGTTGTATCCTGGTTCATTTACTTTTGAAGTGATATTGCATAATGTAGACTCCTCATATAAGGATCTAGGTCGACATCTTGGCTTCAAAAGTGTAATGGTAGCTCTACTTTAAATGTTTAATATTTAACATTTTTGAACGACTAAAGTTGATGGGATTGATGGAATTCCTCACTATAACTTTATTGGTTGACATCCAGTTACTTTATAACTTTATAAAACGTATAAAGTTGATGGGATTGATGGAATACCTCACAATTTGAATAGATTGTACTTTGTGGAATATTGAATATTATTGGGACTTGAAGACTTCAAAATGGAGAGGGCCAAATTAATATGATTTTAGTAAGGCTTAGTGCATGGTTATAGCATTCACATGTGGTGGGTGATCAGCATGTTTTTTATTCACGACTAATTCCTTATACATGCTTGCTGTTATATATTTGTCACCTTCTCCCGAACATTTGTCTGTCCTCTATATTTCTAGTTCTGTAAATATCATGTGGTGCTTCCTTTTCGCCTATCAATTTAACTGAATCGTCCCTAATCAAGTCTCTTAGAATTTTGTGCAGAAGGCTGCTCTAATGCCTAGAAATGATGGATCTACTGTTCAGACAAAGACTGAAAATCTCGAGAAGGCTATTAGGGAGCTCGAGAATATAGTTGCAGAATGTATCTTCTTTCTCCTACCATTATATATTTCTTCAATACGGTTCTGTAATTATGCCTCATTTATATTTTTGTGCTCCTGTGCATTGGAAAACTGCAGCTAGACCACCTACTGAAGCCCACGATGATGACAATTCTTCTCAGGCAGTCAAAAAGAGAGTGCCGCGTGAAATAAGGGATAAGCTGGCGGAAGTTGCTAGTTTTGCGGTAGTTTGGAGTGATAGTCTTAGTAGTTTGCCTTTTTGTGGCATTTTATTAATTGCTTTATGGCCCAATGAATTGGTGTTTGATTTTTTCTTCTCTGTGAAACTTATCTCTTGTACTTTTTGAGTGTCTGCAGCAGGACAGCAATGGAGAAATACCAGTGGATTTGATCAATCGTCTAATGAGCATTGTTGGCCACTTGATGCAACGTAGAACCCTGAAGGTATCTTCCTCTCCCACTAAAAATTTACATAATAATGGTTATTGGTTTTGTTGTTTTCAAATTCCCCCAGATCCCTTTTTCAGCGCTTTGATTTGTTAGTTTTCTACTGGAGATTATGGTAGATTGGTTTTAGTGCAGTTTGGCTTAAATAGAAGCTGGGATAGAAGAGAGGTTTGTTGCTCATGTGTTTTAATCCACTTATAAGCTTGTCATTGGCTGTTTTAAGTGATGGCCTTTGTGTTTGCGTGATGCGATTTAGTGTTTTAAGTGATGGCCTCTGTCATTCTGGATCGCTTTCTCGTACCTATCTTTACATCATTACATGTTTGGAGAAAATGTAGTGTTTTTACTCACAAAGAATAAAATGAATGTTTTATTGAGTTCATCACCTAGTATCAGAGCATCTTTATGAATGAGGTTTTGAGTGAGGTTTAAAAACTCAAACCTCACTTTTGTTATTATAATAGGCAGCTTTGAGGTTTGTGAAGACAAACTTGCAAAAGTAAGAAAAAAAAAAAATAAAAAATAAAAAATTGAGAAGTAGTGGGGCGTGTAAAGCAGATGTATTGTTTGAGGTGTGAATTGGCTCCTACATTCTCCATATGCGCGTGAAAGGGTGGAGTCCGCCCACTTTATCACCTTTTTTTTTTCTTTTGCTTTTTTAATTTTATTTTGCAATTAAAATTAAAATTAAAACCCTTTACTCCTTTTTATTTATTTTAGGAGAATATTTGTCAACAAAAATATTGTGTTTATCAATAATTGTATTTATCTTATTTTTCACTAATTGTATCAATAATTATATTTATCAATATTACATTATCAATAATTGTATTTATCTTTTTTATTTATCAATTAATTATAAACTAGAATTGTTATTCTAATTTATTTTATAGTTTTTTATATTATTAAAGTTGTGATTTTTTTTTTAAAGCAAGGTCACACACTACATAATTATAAATAATAAAATATAATTATATGTAATTATATATATATTTTATTTAGATGGATTTTTTATTATTATATAAAATATTTACATTTAATAAATAAAAAAGTAGAGTTATAGTTTTAAAGTATTAATTAATAAAAATAAGAGTATAGTATTAATTAAAAATAAATGGGAAACATGTGGGACCCATGAAAAATGAGGTTTATGAGGTTTATTGTTATTGGAGGTTTATGGGTGTAGGAGTAAGGATGAGGTTTTGGATGATGTGGCATATTGGGAAGTATAAAAGTGAGGTTTACGGAGGTTTATGTTTTTTATTTGTTAAAGATGCTCTCAGTTGCGGATGCAAATAGGGGCCGCAGGGGCACGTGCCCCTATACAATTAAAAATAATAAGTACTTATATTATGTAGAAGTTAGAAAAACAAATAGTATTTCTTCTATACAAATTTGTGCCTATGTTATTTATTAGAAATGTTGATTTTAGTAGTCCATTTATTTTTCTCTAAATTCCGAAAATTATAATAGAGTTTTATTTTGAAAAAATAACTACTCCATGTAAAAAAAATCTAAAAAATAATCCTTTCACAATCATCTCTTGAAAAAACCTAAATATTAATTAATCCTTAATCCCATCTTGAACCCGACTATGATTTCTATCCATTTTTGCACCTATCAACTTTATAATTTATATATTATTTCTTGTAAACCTATATTTATATTAAGGGATTTTAAGAATTGATGTGGTGCCACTTTAGAGCTTTCATAATTTTGATAACAAGTCATGATCATAATTAAGATATCTAAACGCTTTGTTTTAAATTTGATGCATACTTTATTTAGGTGTTTTCAATTTTTAATCATAACATTTTAAACAAGCAATCAAATTGTACTTATTGATTACTAATGACTTTTATGTATTCACTGTGAAGAAACATTATAAACCGAAGCCCACATGTAGACGTTAAAAGATATAACATAAAAATAATACTACCTCCTTTTTTTTTATAAATGTCATTTTAGTTTATCAACAATTAATCAAATAAATGACGTTTTGGATCTTTTGTACATATTTTTCCATTATTACCCTATGTCTTTTCATATTCTCCCTTCATCTTTTCTCAAAACATTCATCTCTATCCTCATTAATGAGGGTTATTATTGGCAAAAAAAATATTCTTAATTACTGTGCAACTTCTCAAAACGACATTTATTAAAAAAAAGGAGGGAGTAATAATTTTGATGCTTGAGAAAGACTAATTTGATAATATTGAAAATAACGTAATTATTAAATGATGCAAAATATAAAAATATATAGAGAACGATTTTAAAATAATATTATTTTATTTTTTTAGCATTTCGTAAAAGTTACATTGTGCCCCCTTAACTTTGCAAGTCTACGTCTGCCCCTGCCTAGTATGTGGAAATTGTTGTGGGAAATTCGTTTGTGATGTGACCTGTTAGAGACTTGGAGCTATTATCTGTGCCCAGATCCTTATCAGCTCTATATTCTGTTTCGTTACTGTTCACTACAACTTCTGATGAGATAGAATATTGATTGCTGAAAAGGTTTGGTCTTATCATGCCATTTTTAGTCATGCTGCGAAAGAATAAAAAGAGAATTTAGATATCTGCTTTGATTGACCTTGTTTTTGTGATGACATTACAGAGCTGTTTGCCGGAGAACCGCTATATCGTGGCTAAGAGAAATCCAAATGTTAACGACATAGTTCCCGAACGAAGCTTAGCTTAGAATTAGATGTTTGTTTTAAATAATCTATCTGATACAATGTGGTTTACCTTTCTATGCGTTCCAGTCTTGGAACATCAATAACCATAATATGAACTCTGTGTGTAATCCTTAAACAAACTAATGTTGCGTTTCATCGAAACAAACTTCTAATAGGAGAGTTCAAAACTTTTAATAGGATATTATCACCACCATAATATCTGCTTATAATTTGTATATTCAAATAGGAGAGTTCCAAACTTCTAATAACCCGGATGTTTCTTTTCTCCTTCTTTGCCTACTCAACATAACAAAAGGCTTTCAATCTCACGTAAAACTTTGTTGATAATTGAGTTAGTAAAGAATTCGCATAAATCTTAACAAATCTAAATTAAAGCCTTTTATTGGTCTTTTTACATTGATTATTGAGTTAGTACATATTCATTCACCCTAAATTTCCTTATGTTTTCAATAGATTTTTCCATCTCATTTACCTGGGTTTGCACTTTACCTTGTGGAGCACCCCATTTGATTTTTCCCCTTGAATTATACATATGCATGACATGCCTCTTGATTTGTGCAATTTTCCTAGACAATATCAGGTTGTTTTATGCTCCTGATTCACATTTTAGCCTAATGCAGAAAAGTTTAATCACCATTGCAAACATGAAAAAACAACCTGAATTTGACCGAGAAGTGCACAAATAAGAAGGAAATCGTGCATGTAACAACACGGCACAATATTTCGCAATTGAGGATTTGTAGATATCCAAGTACAAAACTTGAAGAGTTTGGATGGTAATGTGTGATGAACGTAAAATTTCTCTAAAGGTGTGAAAATCACCATGGTTGGAACCCCTTAACATCAAGATTGGCTGAATACTTGATGAAATGAGTGGATTAACTTACAAGAATATACACCAGCCATCCCTTATAGTAACGTGTATAACGCATGGAAGGGAGTATGTATATGTTGTTTATGGCAACAATTCAATTATGTGCATTTATAATACGTTGTTTACGTAAATGAGACGGTCTCCTGTGTAGATTACCTAAAGTGAGTTATTGTTACAATCATGAGTAGGATTCTTTCACTCTCACATCATATTCATAAAAAAATGAACAAGTGGCTCGAAACTCGTATTTTCTATAGGATGAGTACCGTAAAACTTGATACAATTCCAAATGTAACTACATGACAGTATCGTTTGTTTACCTCTTTGTGATGTACACTTACATTATTATCCATCCCGATATGTGCGCTAATCGCAATTTATGTTTGCTGTAATCCTATTAGATGTCATTTATGATGCTATCTCATTTAAGCAAGTCCATGAGCGTGATTTTCCATGATTCTTTATATTCATTGGTCAAACCTTTTTATTGCATTTTCACTTCTTCTATATTCATAGTTATTGTTTATTATTTTGTTATCCATCTACTTATATTTTTTGCGCGAGATGAGTCGACGTGTTCGCCTTTTTGCAAATAAATGCGACAATTACTGATTTCGCAAGCATATTTTTCCTTTTTTGTCAGAGAAACCTTAGAATCATGGCTAATGCCGGATTATCCGCTAAACAAGAGAAGGCTGACCGAATAGAGAAGATAAAACAAGAGGTTGCTGAGATGGTTAAGCAGCGGATTCCATATATGAAATCAAAAGTATGGAGTTCTGTTTAGTTTAAAGTCGATACGATGCGGTCGATCGAAATGTTGATCTACCTTATACATAATATTGAAGATTTTTTTTTTGTACCCTTAAATGACTTGTTGTCTAAAAACCTCGACATTTGTGCCGCCGCCGCCGCCACCCCACCCCACCCCACCCCCCTAAAAAAATGAACAAATAAATAAATAAATAATAAACTCCATTTTTCATTTTACTGAATGATTGGGGTTATTTAGTTATATTTAATAGCTGATTTCTTACATAATTTGCAGGCTGAGCAGCTAGCTGCAAATTCAGATGATTTTCAGGAAGCTGGTCCAGAAGTGAAAAAAGTCCTGAAACGCAAATACAGCATGGATGATGCACTGGGAAATAAGATTTGTGATTTATATGACCTTTATGTTGAGGTATTTATTACTTATTAAGCTTCCGTGGTTCATCTGGAAGTTTCTAACATCCAACTTCCGTCCTCCCCCAGGCCAGAAAAAGGGGGAGAACAGGAAAAGGACAAAAAAGGAAAAAAGAACAATATAAACGTTACGATTTTTTTTAGTGATGTACTAACCTGCTTACTTGCATTTTATTCCAGAGAATAGATCAGGATTCAGGTCCACCCATCAGAAGGCTGTATCAAGAGGTAGTTAGAATGTGGCTCAAGTACTTTTTTGTTCGAGTAGGTTTATTGTCGGAAATAAACTGATTTTATGTCGAAGATCTTTGAAGTAAATAAAAGATGAAGAGATGATACAATTTACAGTAATTAATGTGGTCCGGAAATTATAGACCTGCATCTATATATTTTACTTCACACGTTCCTTTTGACTAGTTTGCTTCTTTGTTTGAATACGTGAATTGTCATATGAGAATTGCGGTTGTGTTTTCTAGTAGTTTTACTGGCTTTAGTATAATAAACTACTCGAACTAGAAAAACATTCATTAATTTTCCACCCTATTCATCTCTCTGTCTTTCTAATGCAGCTTGTGGTATTGTGGCCTAGTGGATTTATGGATACTGATGGAATCAAACGTGCTATATACCGAGTGAAAGAAAGGAGGGGTCTGTGCATCCCGGCAAAGGTATCGATAATTTTAGTTGATCAATTTTTTCCTATGTATTTTTTTTGTTTGCAGAATATGACTTTGAAGGCTTTACATAATCCCCATTGGGCGAAGGAATAAGGAGATCCCAAAACTTTTATATTGATATAAGTGCTTATGAGAATGACGGCTGTAGGCTTTCATCTCCATACATGATGATAAAAAAATAAGGAATATCCTATTGCTCTTATATAGCTTGCTTTTTTTTTCACAAATTAAAAGTTACACTGAAAAGTAAAAAAAAATGCATCTTTTAAAAGCCATAACCGAATGCATTCAGCATTGGAATGCTTACTGTTTGTTTGATCGTCCTCTTTGGATTCACCTTGAGTTTTGCCTACTCTGTCTTTCCTTAGTTTATTTAGTTTCCATTTGTCTTAATTATTCATGTTGCATCTTTAGGATCGAGAGAAAAGCAAGAACCAGAAAGTCTTGCCTCCAAAACGAAAGGACTGCACTAATGTCTCTCAATCCTCACATAATCGTGAAAAACCACTCTCAGATTCCCTTTCTCCTTTGACCAAGAAGCCAACCTTCAGCGCTCGTAAACCAGTTGCCTTAGCACACGGCCCAAAAGCCGACAGACGGAATCAAGAGAAGGCAAAAGGAAGTTCCAGTGGCAATAATCCTGTGGATGCAGTGGCATCCAATTCGATGCCGAGTAAAAAACTGAAAAAGAAGCCGAATTCGGAGGCTTTAGAGACTCAGGTTCGGCTCGAGAAGCTGGCGTTGTCAAAGGCAGACGAGAGGCCTAAACTACAGAAGCACGTGCCTCAGAGTAGTACCTCTAAGTTTGCATAAGTGAATTATAAAACTTGTACATAGTATTTTGGGTTAGCTGAAGTGTTTTGTGTTTTTTTTATTATTTTCATGTTGTGTGATTTCATTTTCTGGTGACTAAGCTTTTTGTAAGTATTGCGATTGACTACATTATATGGGAACCTTTTTCAATATTAGGAGTAGGTTAGTTGAGAAACTGGGGGTCTCTTGCATTTGGTATTTTTCTGCATTGTTTGAGTTTTTGTTAATATCAGGGATGGAGATGAAAGGTTGCAGTAATGAGAGGGAAAACAGAAAGAAAGAGAAAAGAGAAGTGTGTATACAATGAAGTATTTATAGTGTGCAGTGATAACTAGAGTTGTTATTGTACAAGTACAACTAAAGGTGTAGAGTTGCTATTGTACACGTACAACTAAAGATGCTAAAGATATAGTTGACAATTTTTAATATAAAATGACTATTCTATCCTTCATATGCTGTTAAGTTTGTGATCTCTTTGGATGATTAAGGGTGTTACTAGATATAAACTTGACTAGTAAAAAGTAAATTAAAACTTAAATTTAATTAAATTCACTATCATTAATATTACCAATATAATTAAATAATATCAACCAATCATTCTTACACATCACATCAACTTTAATTCACTATTCATCTACTTACATAATTTTAATTAATCATAACTTCTAATCATTTTTCTCATATTTTACATCGAATCAACTTTTATTATTTTATTTTAAATATTATTTTAATTTAAGCTTAAATTTCCACTAACATCTAACCATATCATATTTTCAAATTAAACTAATTAACGAAAAAAAACAATAAAAAACCAATCAATTTCATATCCGGGAAGGCCTCAAAAATTTTGAGACAGGTAGAGGCAAAGCCTTCATATTGCCTAAGATCGACGGGTATAATAATACCACAAATCACCATTATATATTACTATGAGTGTGTATTTGGAGATCAGATTGGCATAGCCGGCTCTTGGGCAAGTTGCCCAAGGCCATTGCCTAGGGCCCCAAATCAATTGGGGCCTCATTTTATTTAAATATTTTTTAGAATTTTAATTACAAAATGAAAAATACAATTAAGATCATTTATTAAAAAAATATTGAAACTCGATACGCTGATTGGTTGATTTTAAGCGAACAAATTTATTTTACTATGCTACTATTTTCTGAAATTATAATTCTATCTTTCGATTGTTTATAAAGTGAACTGAATAAAGATTTTTTTTAATTAATTTATTAGTGAGTATTTATCTCTTTATACTTCTCTAATTTTACTATAACATTGATATTATATTGTTCTTTAATATTATAACATTCTTTAATTTGTAACTTATTTTATTCCAATCAAATTTATTAAAAATATTTTATAATCTCATTTGCGATGGTGATTGTGATGGGTCAATTAAAAAAAAATAAGATTATGAGATTTTATAATATAGAGAATATAGAATGATTTGTCTAGGCCCGGAATTTCTAGAGACGGCCCTACAGATTGGGTTAACCCCATTATTCAAAATCAGTGACTTCACAAGTTGAGCCTCAAGATGACCCAACAGTGTCGATGCCGCCGGACAAACCCACATACATCAAGCAAATCACTGGAATAGAGTCTTGTACAGATTGCTTCAATTGCTATACATCGACGAGGCATTTTTATTCCGGGAATTTCAAATTTCACTCGATTTTCCCAGTTGGCACCTTCTAAATTATTTCTAAGGTATGCTGAATTTAGGGTTCTGGGTTTTAATGGAGCGTGCCATTATACTACATTTTTTGTCTAATTTTTTTTTTAATGTTTTAGTATTATTGTTAGTTAGGCTGTCTGATTCTTTGTTTTTTTTGTCTTTTTTGTTTTTTCTGTTTTTGTGGCTTTGAGCAAGCCTCAGTCGAATTAAGAAGGGAAGGTCTACTAAAAATCAGTACAAGTTAATCCCCACTCCCCTTCTTTTTCCGATGTCAACTATTTGTTTTTTCCCTTGAAGTAAACACGATGGAAAAAATCACTTTTCCCCTTTCTCTCTCTCGTTCCCAAAAATCGCCCAAACCCTACCCTTTTAATCTCGCCGATCGGAACTCCCTCGCCGGAAATTTGGGTTGGCCGGTGGACGGCCTCCATCGCTCGTCCATGGAGGCGCACACCCTCGTCTCAATTGCTGCTGCTGGGACCGTTCCTCTGCGTCGCCATCGGAGAAGACTTTCTTTCCCGTTTGCGCGCCGGAGCTCAGGAGTCGTCGGCGTTGGTCGGGGTGTGGAGCTGATTCATGGACGAGGCTGGGTTAGCTGCACTTGGCTCTGGTTGGGACGCCGCCTGTTCTTCTCGTTCGCCTTTCTTGCCACCGGTCTGGACCTGCGCTTTTCCGCCGGCGAAGCGGCGATTGGCCAGGGCCACTTCCTGCCCGACATGTTGCTATGTCAATTGGAGGTTAGCCTTTGTTGCTGCTGCTTTGTCTCGGTTTTTAATTTGTCCGTGATCGGGGGACCTTTGGTTCTTCATTGGCAAGTTGGAATTGGTGGTTTTGATTTGGGGTCGTGGTACTGCTGGGATTCGATGCCGTTTCTGGCTTGTGCTCGGCTGTTTAGTCGTTTCAACCATTCCGGGCTGGGACGAAGGGTTGCTGTTTCAGACGGACCGACTCGGTGAAGCCGAGCCGTGTAGGTTTCCTCACGTGATTGGAGTGCGGGTCAGCTCTTCGATTTGTTCAGGGGTACGGGTACCCGTCTTGCTAGGCCTTTCGCAGTGGCGGACGGTTGTCCTCGTGCTCGGGAGCCGTTGTTGGGACTGATTTGTCTGCCGTCAATCTAGATTTATCTGGAGGGGGAGGCTGTTTGTTTATGTCTAATTTTCTTATTAGCTATATGGTTGTGTTAGGTTGTGTTTCATTGCTTTTTTCTTTAGGATTGTGTTTTTGGTTTGGGCTATTTGGCCTCTGTGAACCCGAGTGNGTAAACACGATGGTATATCTAGGCCTGGTATCTTTAAAGAACATTAAAGAAAGAACTCGTGCTTTGGATGGAAATTGGATAGCAATTGAAGACGGGATTGTAGGGATATCAGAAGATGAAAAGCAGCAGAATGTAGTGTTCCTCTCGTCTTAATGCTAATATTTTCGGATGCTCAGTTTTTGTAGGAGGAAAAAAGAGACATCAAGATGCCCCGCTCTTTAATTTCCGGTTTGCCGAGGATCATCTTCAGGGCGAACCATGACACTGCCACTTTTACAAGGTACTAATGAGCATGTCTGTTTATTTGGATATAATTTTCAAATTTTCAGCTCGATTAATGCATATTCATCACCCTTGCAAGAAAAAAGATGAATTTAGCTTAATCATTAGGTCCATCCTTGTTCTGAATGCCACTTTTGTTCAGCTTTCACACAAAATGTTCTGAATATGCATGATTTGTTAGTTTTAGTATTTGGTGATGGCTGTTTGCTAATATGTCTTTGTAGTTGTTAAATGTACCCACTGAGAGTGTGTTCTGGTAATGTAAATGTGGCTGTTTGGATCAGTTTCTGACCTATGGTTCTAATTTGCAGGCCTTAGTTTTAATTTTCGGTAATTTGGTCTTTTGCTGTGTAAAAAGCTAATTAGTGTGTCGACAAATCGCGTACGACCTTTACCACATCGGTGTTGTCAAGTGACACACAAATTTTTCTGATGTTTCAATTTCGTTTTGGAAATTGCCACCTATCCAGTAGATTTTTTCTTGGCGATTTTTGGTTTCCTGGTTTCTGTTTCTCATATGATAATTAGTTGAATCATTATTTTTTATTCATGTCAGTTATTGATGGATCTTATAATCCTATGCAGCGAGTATCTAGTTCGTATTAAATCACTGGTTGGAACCATTTCGACTTCCCCTTGCTCAGTAGAAAACACGACGATTACATATTATTCGAGTCATTTTGAACGTGTAAACAAGCTATATCCTTATTTGGAGAAATATGGCCCCAATTTGTCATCTGGAGCTAACCTGTTCAATTCCTTGTGTATAACAAGACCATATCTTTTGGGACCTCATAGTGTGACCATGGTAAGGGGATATGCTAGACACGCAACTATTGCACCAATAGATCTGAATACAGATGGACACGTTATCAGATTTAACATCGGGAATCAGAGTCCCGAAGGAGCACCTTCAAGGAAAGTGAAAGTAGACAAAAGAAAATCCGAATTGTCGAGAAAGGCAAAACTCAATGAACTTAGGTTTTATCGACTGAAAGCGAAGAAGAAAATGAATTCTCCCAATCCTGATGTTAGAATAAGATACAAGCTTGAAAAGGTTGGTAATACATAATAGCCTTTCGATGCGTAGTTATTTATGCATACATATATAAGAAATAATATAATAGTTTTATTTTGCATTTCAGGCAAAGAGAAAAGAAGCATGGTTGATTGAGAAACTGAGGAAATATGATCTGCCCAAAGCACCACCCGAGACCTACGATCCCGAAATATTGACTGAGGAAGAAAAGTTTTACCTCAAGCGAACGGGAGAGAGAAAGAAACACTATGTTCCAGTCGGTAGACGAGGTGTATTTGGAGGTGTTGTTCTCAATATGCATCTCCATTGGAAGAATCATGAGACGGTGAAAGTCGTCTGCAGACCATGCAAGCCTGGGCAGGTGCATCAATACGCAGAGGAACTTGCTAGGTTAAGCAAAGGCATCGTTATCGACATAAAGCCAAACAATGTGATAATATTCTACAGGGGCAAAAATTATGTCCAACCTGACGTCATATCGCCTGCAAATACTCTGTCCAAAGCAAAGGTATGACTTTTTTTTTTCTTTTGATATTAATATGTTGGCTAATTTTGTGTGCATAATGATAGCGAAAGAAGATGCTGTGTGGGAGATATCTTGATGGTGCATGTTTCTTTGCTACATTTTGTTGTTGAATTCTCACGGTTTGATTTTTTTTTTATTTTTATTAAATTAACAGGCTCTGGAGAAATATAGACATGAGCAATCACTGGAGCATACAAGCCTGTTCATTGAGAAGTTGGAGAATGAACTGGAAGAATATCATGACCATCTTGCTCGGTATAAGAAAGAGAAAAGTGCGACATAAAGTACTCACGGGAAACAGTTGCTTTGTATTCTCTGCTCAGTATTGCCCATGTCAGTATTCCAGTGTTTTCATGTGTTCTATATTTTCTCATGTATTTTAGGTTTTCAGTTACACAATAAATACGTTATCAGCAAAAATTCCAACATGATAATGAAACTGAAGAATGATAGTCTTTATTTTCTTCTAAGCTTGGATTCATATGGTCTTGTTACTGTACTGCTGAAAGCTATGAATCAGTTTTCCATTTTACATCACCATATGGACCGTTCTATATTGCTTTGGCTCCTGATATAGATTATTTTTTATTTTTTTTGTAAAACAGGAATCTGCACTAGGGAGGAAGAATTGGAGTTCGTTTATTTCACCTCTGTTTATCTTCACATGTCAGGCAAGACTTAATACTCTGCGTTAATTACAAACACTGCTACCCCTGTTCAGCCAAGTACGGCATGAACCAATTATCGCTATAAACTGCAATAACCATGACTTTTTTTGCTCTTTATCGATTGGATGGAGTATATGCTAGATAGATACATGCCCAAAAGCGGTGTTTGGTACACCTGAAGGGCTTGTTCATTATTTTGAAAGATAAATGTGGCTTTTTTTTCTTTTTTTTTGTTGGGTTTTTTTAGAATTTTGAAATTTCGTATTTCCAGGGTCCTTTATACCAGCAACGGCCATACCTATCACCGTGGGCAGTATTACGTAAAAATGCCAAAATTTCCACAGAAAATAAAAAAACACGGAGTTATGCTCCGATCTCCATGAGAGGCGATGGAAATGATGGCTTTGGTGATGTGGGCTGAACTTTTTAGAATCCATTTTTTGTGCAAATATTCATTCGAGCATCCACTTTGTCGAGATTAGCCGGAAAGATCATACACTACTCTCGATTATATGGGTTATTTGCTTTTGCTTCGGTTTTTGTCTTTACTAGAAGCTGTTCTTGGGGAGATATCTATATATGAATCAAGATTATAATTCTTGCTTGTTGGTGAAGGATGCTTGTTTCATGTCTGTTTTGTTAGAATGAGATATTTGAGATATTTGTACTACTGCGTAGTTACGAACTATGTTTGTGACACAACTAGTCAGTAGTCCTAGTAGTCTTGTGCTGCTATTTCTTTGTTTTTTCATGATTGAAAATTTGGTGACTGCAAGGTTTGAAGTCAAAAGCATACGGATGTATTTGAATGTTTGATTGTTATCTTTGTTTAGAGAATCTGGTGACTGCATGGCTACCCATTGAATGAATTGTATTCCCAGTGGTTATACTTATTTTTATATTGAAAATTTATATTTCAAGAAATAATACCAACACACTTAAAAATAATAAAAATAAAACATTTAATTGTATATATATATATTATAAATATTTTTTTAATAAAAGATGAACGACTATCTAATAGTAAATTAGGGATTTTTCTCAAGAATGGTTTCGTTCACGAATCACTAACTCTGTTGATAATCAATATTTCTAAAGGTGCACCAAAGGTCATCTACTTTTTCTATAGATTTTATTTTATTAACTTAGGACTTGTGGGCTGACATTGACAATCAAAACGAAATGTACATTTAACACGGGAATATTTGAACCTTGTTGGTGTGCTTCAAACTTGAGAATAAACTCTATAATCTATAAAATAATTTTAAATAAAATACTTTAAAATTTAAACATAATAATAATAATACATAATAATAAATACCATCAAATTCCAAAGCTTCGCACTTATCAAATGAAGCTCTAGATTTATAATTCTATTTTTACTATAGTGTGTCAGGTAAACCAAAATATTTTATTACCCCTAGGCAAATAACAAGAAAAAAAAAATGTTCGAAGCTTAAGGGGGTGATTGTATATGAATTGAATAGTAAAAAAATTAATCAAAATTCAAATTTAACTCAACCTCACTATCATAAATATTATCAATATAATTAAATAATATCAACCAATCATTTTTACATATCACATCAACTTTAATTCACTATTCATCCACTCACATAACTCTAATTAACTATCACTTTCAATCATTTTTCTCCTACTTTACATCAAATCAACTTTAATTATTTTATTTAAATATTATTTTAATATATCCACTAACAATTATCCATACTACATTTTTTCAAAATTAACTATAGTTAAAAAATAAATCAAATAAAAACTAGTTCAATCCATAAACAATCACCCTCTAAGTGACATTTTAAGTGACACCCTAATAATCACGAAAAACACGATTTGAGTACACAATTAATTGAATTATTACATAATTTCTTTTACGAGTTAAAAATGATTGATCCTTAAACCTTAGCTCGTAAAACCCAGCGAGCAGCTTTGGTACTGCCAACGTACCAACTCCGATGAGCACCCTCACCTCCTCCTCCGTCCTCCTCCCGCCATCGCAATTCCGCCGCCGGCGAGCCACCACTCCCTTAAAAAATACCTTATTTACTCCATTTTCTCCTATCTCTCTTCAAACACGGCGCGGGCTCACTCTCCCCCCAATCTCAGCCTCTCTCAAGGTACGTTTTTTACAAGCCACTTTATCGGGTACAATTTTCTTCATAAAATAGTTGAAGCCCTTTCATGGTGGGGTTAGGAGAATCACTAATTTACTTCTTGTCATTTCGAGCATGTTGTTATGAGGAAAAAGTTGTAATCTTTGCAGGAAAAAATTGGTGGCTTTAAGAAATCGTGGGCCGACTTAACCAGTTTGAACCACTGGGTGGTCAGAGATTATAACAGACTCGTAAAATCAGTAAATGAATTGGAGCCCTACATTCAAAACCTTTCTGATGAACAGGTTTGAATATGGTTTTACTGTATCTCTATATGTGTGTGTGTGTTTCTTATTTTCCAGTTTGGTAATATTAGGAATGGCTTTATGTAATTTTTATTTTTCCCATCCTTTTTGCTCTTGAAGTTGAGCTCGAGGACTGTTGTATTTCGCCAGCGTTTGGAACAGGGCGAGACTCTAGCTGATATTCAAGCTGGTGTGTTTATAACATTACTGGATTTGGACGAGTTCTGGTCAAAGACTTTCGGTTTTTATATATGTAGAAGCTTTGTTTATGGGTTTACTATTAAAACTTCCAGTTTGATCTGATGATATATTTATGGCCCTTTTAGATTCATTTTAGTGTTTGCTTTCAAGAGTTTAAACCATAGTACTTTTGTTGTCGTTCGTGAAGCTTTTTTTTTTTTCTTTTTGTAGAGGCTTTTGCTGTCGTTCGTGAAGCTGCTAGAAGGAAGCTTGGAATGCGTCACTTTGATGTTCAGGTTTGTTATGGACAAACACATGTCATCATAATTCTTGCATGGGTGAACGACTAAGAGAATTTATATGTTGGCTTTCGGGTTATCAGATAGCCAATGATTTGGATTTTTTATCCCCATTCTGAAAAAATTATCATGTAGCTTATCAATAATTTACTTTTGTATTTTTTTATATTTGTTTTTTGTTTGGTAGTTTTTGGTAAAACTATTTTGATGTCAAGATGTCGTACTTGATGCCACACATCACATTTCACTATTAGTGTAGTCTATTTGATGTTGCAACCATAATACTTTTCATTTCTTCATAAGCTCATCCCTTGAAATTTCATATTGCAGATTATTGGCGGTGCTGTGCTTCATGATGGTTCAATCGCAGAAATGAAAACTGGAGAAGGGAAAACCTTAGTGTCGACTTTAGCAGCTTATCTCAATGCTCTGAGTGGAGAAGGTGTTCATGGTATGTTTGTCATTTATTTGTTCTTAGAGACATAATAATACTGAATATACTTAGTTCCAGATCAGGCTGATGTCACTAATTAGAGGTTGCTATTGTTGGTTCGGACTACCCTTATGCTGTAGTTAGTTTTATTTTTGATACTCTACAATTCTATCACACACTTGACTCTGTCAGGGTTATAGCATAACCAATTGTGTATAGCATATATGATATCTTTCCTTTTTCCTTTCTTTCTTTCTTTTTGGTTTTGTGAGCTTTTGTGTTTTTAGGGCCCCAAACTCAAACATATTTTACTCCCTGTGGCAGTTGTTACTGTAAATGATTACCTTGCTCGGCGTGATGCTGAGTGGATGGGTCGTGTGCATCGTTTCTTAGGTCTCTCAGTTGGACTTATCCAAGTAATTCTTTTCTGAAAGCCCTTTACTTTACGTGTGCAATGTTTTTTTTACTAAAAAAAGATCATGTAGAAAACTTGCTCCGACAAATTATTTATAGTACTTTTATATTTAAGTTGTTCCACAATTCACTTTGATTTATGCTAAATTCTAAATTAAAAGTGAGTCGTGAAATAACCAGACATTTAACTAGTGTAAATGCAAAAGGATGACATCAGCCAGTGAATATTCTTTCTTTTATTCCTTTTTTGGTTTCTTTATGGTTTCAGTGGATGTATATGTGTTGTCAAGACATGGCTTATCTCTAATGCGCTTACCTTGACATCTGTAAAAGTTTAAATGGACTTTTGAATCTTGAAAATGTCAAACTGTAAGGGACAATAGTGATGCTTGGGCACATGTGACCAGATGGGATGTGAAACTTAAGAATCACTATGGTTATCGTATGTCCTAGAGGTTCATTTAAAATATAAAATAACGTAAAAGAGGACTTTCAGTTTGTTTAGTGGACATCATATATCTGACACTCAATTATTTCTATATTGTGTTTTTTCTGAGTGTGCAGGGTGGAATGACACCTGAGAAGCGAAGATTGAACTATAGATGTGACATTACGTACACCAATAATTCGGTAAGAATCTCAGCATATTAAATATGGCAACAAATTACTAAAATCTTATCTTTTCTGAATAAACTTATTGGGTGATTCTGTTTCGAGTTTGCATTTGCTGTCAATTTATAATTCAACTCCTTGCTTTCATGAAATCCTTTTGTTGTTTTTCTTCTTTATGACCTTAGGAACTTGGCTTTGATTATTTGCGAGATAACATTTGTGGAAGCAGAGAACAACTTGTGATGAGGTGGTGCCTCTTAGTTCTTTTAACTGCCTAGTTGGGTGTAGTCTCATAAATAATAACGACGATTTATTATAATACGAAACAGGTCAAAACCCTTCCATTTTGCAATTGTTGATGAAGTAGATTCAGTCCTTATCGATGAAGGACGAAATCCGTTGTTAATAAGTGATTCGGTAATTTGCATATTTTCGGCAATCTGCTACTAAGATGTTTAAGTGGCATTCGTATTTTCAAGCAATCTGATTTAACATTTATTTGCAGTTTTTCACTCACTTTTTTGGATGCCTAGAATAGTAATGACAAAGCCTATAACCAAAAAGAATACTGGAAAACATGTAGTTTAACATGAACATTTTCTTTAGATCCTAGTAATTGAACTAAGGTCATCTGAAAATGATTCTCCTTCTCCTTCTTTTTTCTACTTATATTCAATTATTCCAGGCAACTAAAGATGCTGCACGATATCCAGTTGCGGCTAAAGTAGCTGAGTTGCTGATACAAGGGCTCGTGAGTCAACCTTTTGGGTCTTTACAAAAAATAAATCAAGGATCGTGCTTTAAAAATATATAGGATTCTTTTTAACATTTTGTATTTTCCTGACAGCATTACACGGTGGAGCTGAAAGATAACTCAGTGGAACTTACGGAGGAAGGTATACTACTGGCTGAGATGGCCTTAGAAACAAATGACTTGTGGGATGAGAATGATCCTTGGGCTAGGTGAACATTGAAGATATTTATCATTTTTCAGTTTATATTTGCATGATCACTTTTGAACTAGTTCCTTTACATATTTATGGACGACAAATATCACCGTTTGATGCTCAACCTTTTTCTACATTTTTTTTTTTGATTTAATGGTTCAGGTTTGTTTTGAATGCAATAAAAGCTAAAGAATTTTACCGGCGGGATGTACAGTACATGATCCGAAATGATAAGGCTCTCATAATCAATGAGGTCAACAAAGCTATAAGTAGATTCCTGAAGTTGTCACGCAGATAACCTATTTAATTTATTTGATGGTTATTTGTGGCAGTTGACTGGTAGAGTAGAAGAGAAAAGGCGATGGTCTGAGGGAATCCATCAGGCGGTAGAGGCCAAAGAAGGACTGAAAATTCAGGTGTCAAAGGCTCGACAATTTCTTTCTTTTTTTTTTGTTGGATTTAAGTGGTGATTTTGATTTTACTATATGCGATTTCGTTTTACATTCATGCTTTCTTAAATTTGTTAGGCTGATAGTGTTGTCATTGCCCAAATTACCTACCAATCACTGTTCAAACTATATCCAAAGCTTTCAGGGATGACTGGGACTGCAAAGACGGAGGTATTTTGCATTTCCGTTAAGTGATTGAAGGGTATAAAAACTTATATATAAAGATCTTCCTTGTTTGTTACCGTAGGAGAAGGAATTTCTGAAGATGTTTAAGCTGCCAGTTATTGAAGTGCCCACGAATATGCCTAATATTCGTCAAGATTTTCCCTTGCAAGCATTTGCAGTAAGATAGTAAAGTATATATATAAATATATGTATATATATGTTTGTGTATGTGTGTTTGTATTATACCTCAACGTTTTGAACGCCAACCTTTTGACTTTTTCATGTTCTGAATGGTGTGTGGTCTTAGACTGCTCGAGGGAAATGGGAATATGCTTGTGCAGAAATTCAGTACATGTTTCGCCTAGGCCGGCCTGTATTGGTTGGGACAACTAGGTATCTTCTGTCTATTCTCTTGCAAAATGGTGCATGTTAATGGACAACTCATCCAAAGTATGGCAAGTCAAAAGTTGTGAAGTTGAAAATGTAGTCCTTAAGCTGATGCACACAACATTGATTAACATTATTAAGATGTTATGGATGAGAACTTTGAGTTGCCACATGATTTCTGTTCTAACTCTAAAAGTTCCATAGTATAGCGGGGGGCATTTGTTAATTAAATATGATAAACTGGGCTTTTTTTNTGTAATAGCAGAAAGAGGTATGTGTAGTTTTGGAAGATGACTGGATTTCTTTATAACTAGGAAGAAATTAACGGTGGGCTATTTGTAACGATTCTTTCTATTTATGCTATTTGCATTCACCTTTTTCTCCTAAAAAATTGGGGGCGAAAAAGGATATTGTTCATTGATGCTGTTTGCATTTAAAATTAAATATTGGTGGTTCTCATGATGTATTTTGATTGTTGGAGCAGTGTTGAACACTCCGAATACCTGTCTGCTTTATTGAGGGAGAGAAATATACCCCACAATGTCCTTAATGCTCGCCCCAAGGTTTATTGCATGACTAATGATCTTTAGATTCATTTAATTTTTTGTGCTTCTATATTCATTTGGGAAGACTTACAAAATTTTATCTTTTGCAGTATGTCGCCAGAGAAGCCGATATTGTTGCCCAGGCAGGTCGAAAGTATGCAATTACTCTATCCACGAATATGGCCGGAAGAGGCACTGATATTATTTTAGGAGGAAATCCAAAGGTTGATGTTATTTTCCATGTTCTTATTAAAAGTAGTGTATTTGGTAAATGTCAAATTTCTGAAAACATTATGTCAATTTTGCGTACCTTTTTTTTTTTTCTTAGATGCTTGCTAAAGAGATTTTGGAGAACAATTTGCTTTCATCCCTTACAAAAAATGTTCCTGATCCCGAAGTTGATTCTGGGACATCTTCAGATAAGGTTTTAACTGATTTTACCCTGAGTAACAAAGAAAGCATAATATCTATATTATCTCCTCCCATTTGTTATTTTTATTTTGTTGCCTTGCAGGTTTTATCCAAGGTTAATGTTGGACCATCATCAGCAGGCTTGCTTGCTAAGACTGCACTTATGTGTTAGCATCCTTACTCGACTACACAATATTTGGCTTCACGAGTTGGTTTTTCTCTCCTTGTTTGATTGATACTTTTTTTTTTCCCTTTCTAACAAAAACCACTTTGTTAATAATAACAGCAAAATATGTATGTAAAAGTGAGGGAAAAAAGTGGACTTATGGTGAGGCAAGAAAATTGATATCGGAGTCTATTGAGCTCAGCCAGTCAATGGAAACTTCAGAATTATGGGAGCTCGTTAATGAGCAGACAGAGATGTACCCTCTTGGCCCCAGTATAGCTCTTGCTTATCTATCGGTTCTAAAGGATTGTGAATCTCACTGTTTGAACGAAGGATTAGAAGTTAAGAGGCTCGGAGGTCTTCATGTGATCGGCACATCACTACACGAGTCTAGGAGGATTGATAACCAGGTGTGTATTTCATTTTGATTATAATTTTTTAAAATATAATGAGTGCATTAAACTGTTACTTTTATTATTAAAGACTTACATGTATTACTTAATAAGTGACTCTTGATTCAGGAGAAAGTAAGGTATGGATAATTGCCTGGTTCGAGAACATTTCCTGTTTGTTGCTAAGATTTTCACTGATAGTTGCAGAGAACTATCCATGAAGTTTAACTGAGTTGATTTTCCAAAAATTATAACTTCACTTAAAGCTTATGAGCCGTACATTCTTTTGGTAGTTTGATGTTTTTATTTACTTGTAAATAACCCCCTTTCGAGGTTTTGATTTCTTTCTTTCTTTCTTTCTCTGTTCTTTCTACTTTTTTTTTTTGAATGATTAAATTAGACTAAAGTTCAAGGGTATTTTTCATGTTCCTATCGTGAGTCCTAGCCAGCTGATTTTGTGCTGTGAGGTCAGGTTTGATTGTCATATTTATAGAAGATTTGGTGGAACAGAGTTGTAATGTGTTATTTTCGATTTCTCGAATTCTCTCTCTCATTTAGTTTCTATGACGTTTTAAATATTTTGTATCTGTTACTTTTTGGTTTTCAATATTATTACTATTATCATTTTCTTGAATAGCTACGAGGCAGAGCAGGAAGACAAGGTGATCCTGGTTCGACACGGTTTATGGTGAGGTAAGTTCTCAAGAAACTGAAGATCTGGTAACTCATATGTCAAAACTCGTTTTTTGACTTCTCATTTTCTTTTCGACTTTTTTTATCTTATGGAAATGTACACATAAAAATTAATTTAAATCAATAATGCAGTGAGGACTTAGCTTCAGCAACTTGCATTATCGAGCTGTAATTAATTTTTGATTTGCACTATCATTCACCTCATTACTAATATAAATATCCTGAACAGCTTGCAGGATGAGATGTTTCAGAAGTTCAATTTTGACACAGAATGGGCTGTAAACCTTATATCTAGAATGACGAATGATGAGGATATCCCGATAGAAGGTCAGTCGGTTGTGAAACAGGTAAGGTTAATTATTTATTGACGCATGTCCTTTCCATTTATTTTTCTCCTTGGTTTACTTTTCTAAGAGTTCAGTTTAGCTAATCCACGATACCAACTTTCAGCTAATGAGCCTGCAAATAAATGCTGAAAAATACTTCTTTGGTATAAGAAAGAGTCTCGTTGAGTTTGATGAAGTATTAGAGGTATCATCTTACCTCCTAGCATCTTCTTCTTTTCGATTTAATTTCTTTGACTAATTATTTTGGTGAGCATGGTGAGAAATCTCAAATGACTTGCAGTTGTATTTAAAAATGACATATTGTCAGAATAGTGTGATGTTGCTTTGTTTTAGTTAAAAATCAATCTATGCAGTTATTCTGTTGGTAGGTTACCATGCTTTAAATCGATTCTTAAAGTTAATTACAAAAACCACTCCTGAGGATTGAACTTGCTTAGGATTTAAAGGGGTAATTTTTACGTTTCGTCAATGTGAGGGAGTTCTTGAAATGCTATTTTGCATTTGCGGGGAGAGCAAATAATATGGAATCAAATATCAAATGGTTTTTTGATTAAGGAATGTAATTACTTAACAACGAGGGTGTCTCTACTGACATTCTAATGACAAGCTTTCAGTTTATTTCTTCATCGTCTTGTAAAAACTGAGATTGTGATGCCAGGTGCAAAGAAAGCATGTCTATGATCTTCGACAATTAATTTTAACAGGCGATCCTGAGAGTTGCTCGCAGCACATTTATCAGTAAGCTATTTTTCACTTTCTGATATTTGGTTTTCTTCATGTAGATTCTACCTTCTTTCTCGCTGTACTGCATAACATGTTTGATGAGGCAAGTCGTCTCTAGTACTTAATCAAATATCTCAGGTTAATAAAAAAAGAACAACATTATGGTCAACCTGATGTAATTTTTTTGTGTTGACTACTGCAACTATGTTGAAGTATATTGTTTGTTTACACGTGTAAAGAATCCCGTTTTTCTGAGCTCACTAAACCAATTGATTATCCTTTAGGTACATGCAAGCAGTGGTAACTGAAATAGTTCTCACGAATGCAGATCCAGCAAAGGTGGTGACTTAGATGACATTTGATTTTTTGAGACACTGTATGTCGAAAAAATATTTTAATTCTTTATCTTCCTGAAACAAATATTTTGTGTATAACAGCATCCAAGCAGCTGGAATTTGGTAAAGTTATTGAAAGAATTTATTAGAATTTCTGGTAACGCGTTAAAAGGTGCGCAAGTTTTAATATATTTGTCACTCTGTTTTTGTCCACTTGATATGTACTCTTTCGCTCTTT